CCTTCTTATCCCTTATTTCAGCTCATTTAAACACAAGCAAATGGATTCCACTTCAAATGTAATCAATACAATTTACAATAAATTTGCCACCATAATTCTTTCTATTCCCTATGGCACATATTTATAAGCAATTTTTGCAAAATTACTTTGTGTAGTAAAATTAACGTAAATGTCTTTTGTAAATTATAGTTAAAGTATAGATATATCATAAGGCAAGATTGTATTTATCAGATTTACCTTTAATATTTTGATAAAGAAATGTTGTTTCCTGTAACCAGGTGATGATTTATTACCACTAGCAATGAATCGAAATGCTTGGTTAGACTACCTTTCGAGTGCTTTGGGGTTCACCACAAAGGCTGCAATGTGTGGTTTAAAGCAACGCAGCATTATTGAGTAAACAAATATCTTGTTGTTGGAAGTTAGGTTAAGAAGCTGTAGTATACGGACATATGGTAAATCGTCAAAGCATTTCTACCTTGTTGATGCTAAGGACATTTTGGACATTAAGATGTCAAGTGAAATCTAGTTTATGAATAAGAGAAGGAAACAATTCAAGCAAACGGCCACAATTTGAAAGTATTTAACCTATTAGAACTGAATCGTTTGATTATTTCGTTTCCAAGTTTGAACTTATGTGACGTTGAATTACGAGACTCTAAATTCATGCAGTCAGGCACAACAGGTAACAAGTCGAGAGTTCTAAAATTAATGGTCCAATTGATTATTTTGCCATACGACTTCAAATAATTTGGAGAGAGTTGGCATATTGAATTAAGAATACTGATGATTCTTGAATAATTTGACGTAAAAAAAGTGGATAATAGCTCTGTTGACTGTCTGGTCGCATCGCTTTCTCAACTCACTCTACCTCAAACGCAATCCCCCATTTCATGCCTCATTTTACTATCTCAGATGCTTTTCCATAATTAACAGTTCTTTTCCCTCACCAATGCCCATTCACTTGCAATAATAATAATAAAAATAATAATAGCCACCTTTCGTGAATCTGATGCCCATCTCAGTTATTTAATTCACGAAAACACCATATAATCACACCGCAACTTTGAAGTGTATTGGGTAGATGAAATCAATTATTAACATACTATTGTCGATATAAAATGTTGATATTTCGGGTAATTTTTCGGAATTAGTTTTTACTGCAATCGATATATCCTTGCAAAAAACATCTTCATAGTTTTAGGCGCATTGTCGTGGGTGTCATCTTCGATGCTAATTGAGGACATTGTCTACTGGGGAGGGGCTTCTATAGTCAACAGTGGCATTTACCGGTGCCAAGATGGAGAGCGATGAATCCCATGTCAACTGCCTGATAAGGGAGTTGAAGGAGGAGCTCTCCTTTAACATGTCCTCCTATATCAGGGAGGACCTGTTTGTCTCCATTCCACATGCCTCAAGGGATGTCTGTGCCTACTTTGTGGAGGCTGTGTCTACCAAAGTGGCTTTCAAACCTGCCACGAGATATGAAATAAAAGTGAGTGAGTTGGCCCACAATTCAAAGCAAACGTTTTATCCTTTCGAAAACGGAAGATAATAAAAATCCAAAACAATGCAGAGATAGTTGAGAAATTTCTGGATGACACTAATACGTCCGATTTAGTCCCAATCGAATCAACTGCAGGCACTGCGCCAGAGGGAGGTTAGTGTGGTGAAGAGCAGAGATCTTAGGTGGAGGAGAACGTGGATTCGGAACTTGCCATACAATATGTTGATTCATCAGTTAGTGGTGCTACCCTTGAGCAGAATTTAAAGTGAGTAAATTTTTGCTTAGGTTTCAACTATTCCACCTGTAAAGTTATCGTTTTTGAAACGCTTCAACAAAGTAAAAGGTAACGCCTTCAAAATCGAAATACTTCCGGCGTCAACGGCACTGGATCTGCAGTGTTATTTCTTAAATGACACTAAACGATACCCAATTCTGACTTGGATAAACTGAAGTAGTGTGATGGGTGGTCATCTTTGCTAATCACATATTAATGTTCATTTAAATAACATAAACGTTATTTCACAAACCAATCGTATTTGCTGTGATAGTAAAATCCAATAAACGTTTTTCTCAACAGAAGCCAATTCTGGAGCCAGGTTAACTAATTTTAGTAGCCTTAACAAACCAGGATACTTTGGCATCAAAATTACTGTGGATAACGCATGACTTATTCGTGTAGCAATCTGCTTCAAAAGTACGGCAAAATTACATTTGAGCGCATTTTGCCAAATTTATTGTGGATTGGCAGCTGGGGAGGCGTTTCTATAGCTTACATTACCAAGATGGCTCTTAATAAATGTTGAGACAAGTGCCTGACAAAGGAGCCAAACGAAGAGCTCTCATTTGACATTACCTACCATATCTGGGAGGTCAATATGCATCCGATCCAGACACCTCTATGGGTATGCCTACATGTTCTGCTAATATTCAGAACGGCAGACAAATCACCAATGTGATTTCGAACCTATATTTGGCGCAGGCATTCTGAGTTGATCTTAAAATCTGTCTTGTCATTACATCATACTACTTGCACTGCCACGCCATTCTTCCCTCCAATATACGAACACGATTTCAATGAGTATACGAATGCTAACTACAAAGAGCTCCGCAAAGCTTATTGGGAGAACCTAGTTCAGTTTGCCCATAATAATGGTCTTCCATTATTATCATCCCAGTCACCTTAAGGGATGTCTGTGCCTAATTTGTGTAGGCTGGGTGATCCACGTAACTTTCAAACCATGTACTGGTACGACAGCAACGGGATGGTTACCAATGCCATGGCAACCAAATTTTAATCATTTCAATTGACTCACCACGACATAAATCTTCACTTAAGGTACACGGACACTTCTGTAGAGTTCACTTATCTCGGAGTAAAGTTCAACGCAGCAGCAATGAAATCGATGTGATTTTTCATGTGCCAAGCGCGCAACTTCCTTGATGAAAGCCCAATTAGGTAAATGTAGTGTCTGACTATGGATTCCCTTATCCAATTTACTTTCCACATATTTTCCCTGAAGGCTTAGTAAAATGCACAAAAAGTGATTTGCACATCGAAAGTAATGGTAAGCATGAAAACACCATAGTTGGAGCAATCAAATAAACATTTGTTAAAATTAGCGAGAAAGTTTGTCCACAAAAAGTGAATGGTCCTAAAAAGCATGGACGATTGAGTATGGGCAGTGAAGAAGGGCAACATGTTTTTTCAAAGACAAGTCAAGCTGATATGAAAATGTAAAGTTGATTGTGGGGGAGGTGTAATTTCAGACAGAGAGAGAGAGAGGTAAAGAAATTCTTTGTGTTTTTGGTTCAGAAGTTGAGCTAAATCTCAATCAGCGTATGAATTGCCCCTTTTCAAGAGGTTGGGAGAGAAGGGCGGTGACGAAATGCTGATTGAGTGAAAAATATCCACAAACGTAGCTGCACTTGATGAATTCAAGAACAATTTCATGAAAATCTCCTTAAAACGGAGACAAGTAGTATGCACAAGGATAGTGATTTCATTGTAACTTCACACAAATAAGTATTCACACTTGATACAATGACAAATTAAATTAAATGAATTCAAGTTGTTGATTGTGAAACAAAGTTGTGTTGCGACGCCGTTTTTGCAGTTACACTATCGTGGTGGTCAAATTGAAGGAAATGTTGAAGTAACTTCAGAGAGTGAGGACTTGTGAGTCCTAAATTCGCCTTGGTTTCAAACTTCGACAATGAAACACCCTCCTCGGCTATGTCCACATCATAGAAGGAGTGAGTTAAGGGAAGGTGGTACTTCTCCACGAAACGTACCAACTAAGATCGGCTCTCATTGCCCGCAGCAAATAAGCTCTTATGTTCATGTTTCAAGCTAATCATAATAATAGAAGTCAAATCAAATGCCACGTGATAGACTGTTTTGCCGTGCGAAGATACGTTGTCCAGGGTGCACCACGAGGAGGTAAGTCTATCTCGCACCCCTTACTTGATGAATTGGATATTGAGATGTAGAATACTTATTTTGGAAGGGGTAAGTAGACGATGGAGATGGTGGGTGAAAAGGTGGAGGGAAGATAAGACGTAAAAAGCAAATGGGGTGGGGGGTGGGGGTGGGAGGATGTTGTGGAAGAAGGGTAATCGAAGCAAGAGGTGTAAAATTGTGACGAGTAAGGTGAGGTCATATTGAAGGACGTGAAATGTTTGTAGATGTTTGTATATGCTTTAGAAGTGAGAATGTGATGAGAATGGGAGGGTAGAGCAAAAGCGATGGACGCGGATTAAGTGGTGCTTGTTTATTGATTGTAAGAAATGGAGGCAGATGAGTTTAAGCTGGGACGAGAGTGAAGAATGGGGAGCGGGTGTAGAGGTCGCGTTGTTGTTAGAGGTGATTTTGGTGCTGTGGAATAGATTTGGCGTCGATGAAAGTGGTGTATTTATTTATTTATTTCAAATGGCAGGCATTTTGATAGTTATCATTAGCCCTTTAGTTGACTTCGGGATTCACAGAAGGGAGGTACATTAAAGTGAGAAAAATTCGATAGAGGGGAAGAAGAGCGATTCACAGATGTAACAGACAGACAGACAGACAGACACAAAGGCAGAGAAAAGGCTAGATGAGTACTGTGTAAGGGGTCGAATATGACATACAGTGGGGTTATGGAAGTTTGAAGTCGGAGGTCAACTGCCAGTTAATAGACTTTTTTGCCGTATGAGTATACGTTGCCCAGGGTGCACCACGTGGAGGTAAGTCTATTGCGCACCCCTGGTGTCGTGAAAGTGGTGTTGAATGTGGTGGTGTGGATGGAGTTGTTAGTGTTGGTGGTGGTGGTGTGGGTGTGGATGTGATGGCCTTGAGTGAGGAAGTTGCGTGTGTGAAATTGGGAGTGGTGGAGAGTCATTGCAGTATCAGTGCCTGCGACGTCAACGCTAGTACGAGAAGTTGGAAGTGATGTTGGAGGAGTTGACGCGTTGAGGGTAAAGTGGCTGATATTTGGAAAGTGTGGGGCTGTGTGTGTTAATGTGTGGGGGATGAGGAACTGGAGGTGGTTGTTGGAGTGGAAGTGGAAGTGGAAGTGGAGGGGGATGGAGGCGCGTAAGTCATAGCATGTGACCTGAGTGTGGCAGGAGGTGAAGCTACTTGTGCTGGAGGATGAGTGAGTTGAATGTGCAATCTCCATGCACTCTCGTTGGTGAAGGCTTGATGGCAGTGCATACATATGAAGTGAATGGAAGTTGCTGGTGGTGGGCAAGTGGGTGCGATTGGGCCATATGAAGTGTGGAGTCGGTGATGAGCATGTCGTAAGCGTTTGGTTGAGAAGCACTTAACGCAGTAACGGCAGCGAAAAAGCCTGCGAGTGCGTAGAGTGGTGCGTGTCATGGTGTGTTGAANGAGATGTATATCCTCGGAGGTGGAGAGTACAGGGTTGGATGAAGAGATGGATGACGAGTTTGATGAAGTGGTGGAAGCTATGAGTGAGGAGATGGAGAAGGAGGTTGTGGTGGAGGCGGAGTGTGACGGTGAGGTGGACGTGAGTGTAGATGTGTAGGTGTGGATGGTAGTGAAAGTGGTGTTGTTGGTGTTGGAGTTGGTGGTGGCGGTGGTAGTGGTGGTGTTGGTGGTGGTCTCGGTGATGGGGAGTAGGGATGCATCCCCATGTGGAACTGAGGTGTGTTGTGTGTTGTGTGCGGATTGGGATAATTGTGAGTGTGTGGTGGAGTTTGAAGGGTGGAATGATGGAGGAGGAGATGTGTGAGAAGGAGGAGGCATGCGAGTGGGAATGGGAATTGGAGGTGACGTTGGAGAGGGAAGAGGGCAAGGAGGAGGAGGAGGAGAAGTGGAGATTGAATCATTGGAATTCTGAGCATTCTCATCGTCACTAGTGGAGAGTGAGTGTTGGTGAATTGCATGGAGATGTAATGAATGTGGTGAAGGAAGAGTGGGGAAAGAACGAGATGGAGCTAAAGTGAATAGAGGCGTAGAAGTAGAGGTCGAGGTAGAAGGAGATTGAGGAGGTGAATGAGGCGAAGACAAATGAGACAGAGGAGACAAAGGAGAAGTGAGATCACGAGGAGACTTGTTGGTGTTTGCAGGAAGTAATTGTGCTTTTGCGTTTTGTTGGGCAGGGGTTGGAGAAATTGGAGATGGAGAGCGAGAGGAAGACATGTTTACAGCAAGTGTAACAGTTTCTTTATGACATTAGTATCATTCGTCGAGCTATTTATATACGTGACATATGTAGCAGCAATGTAAGTCACTCTCAATTAGTCAGTGTATCTCGTTGCCATGTAAACTGAATTAGGTCATTGGGGGTCACGGATGAGGTGATGTAGCAATTGTTTTGTTGGAAAATATTATCTTTCTATGAGGTCACTCAAATTTATGTCGGTGTCATGACACTGTTGACAGTTGGCCGATACCTTGGTTTTTTGAAGATGTGCCTTAAATTGACACGCTTTGCAATTTATCGATTGTCTACATTGACACTTCCATAATGCTATATTGTATACTTTTTACAGCTAGAAATTTCACAAACACTAACATCTTATGGTAAGAATCCGCTTATCCAAAATTCGCTTTTTATTTTACTTACGAGATTTTTCTAAAGTTTTACTGCAAATTGTTTTTTTTCCATTTCAAATTGTTTATACTTTTATGTTTTTACAGCATCATATCACGTAGCACATTCACGATGAACAATGACTAGTGACTTGATCCTCAACCTTATTTCTGCAACCGAGTGGCATCTGCCTCTGCATCCAAGTTCAGAATTCTCCTTCTCGTGCCCAAAATGGATACCGATGGATGTGAAACAGGAGATTCAATTGATATTAACTCACATAATATCAATTATTGGTATTGAAAGCACTGAAGCCTGCACAATACCATGTCTCCGCAATTGAGTACATTTGAACGATGCCGTTGCTATCAGCATATTGGATGAGTACGAACACATACATATTCTATTTTGGCCATGGATTCCGCTCGAAGAATATGTTTACAAAGAAAATGAATCGTTAGATGCTGGTTTACAGTTGAAAGGAAGTTACTTTTGGAAAGCTATTCGACAATGGCGTTATTGTGTGAAGTGGTGTAGAATTAGGAAAGTAATCATAATATAAAGAAGTCCATAGATTTAAGGAGAGTTGTTCTGCTAAGGCGTCATGGGAGAGAAGAAAAACCATTTGGTTGTGTTTTTGGTGGAATGCGGATTGGCACCACTGCCAATCAGATGATAAAGAAAATGTACTGGTTGGGAGACGGGCAAAGTATGTATTATGGCAGTATGGAGGCGTGAATGCGACAATCGATAAATTGCAAATTGTATCAATTAATGACACACCTACAAAAATCGAGGTATCGGCCATCTGTCAACAGTGTCATGACACCGACATAAA